CCGCACTGAAAAAAAAAATGGACTTATGACCTGTTTTCACCGAACCACTGCAGTATCCCCCGTCACGTGATCAAAATTGGGATGCTCATCAACTTCTGACAGTTTACGACTCCCGATTCCCAGAATCATCTTTCGGAATAACTACAGGGATTTATTGAACAATGGGGGGGCGAGAAAGGTTATAAAAATAAGGTACAACTCACAACAACTGACTTGCTAATCAACAACAGACATTTTGGGATCAGCGGTGGCCGTAAATCAAGGGCCCCTTCTACTTTTTCTACATAAGCCTCTTATACAAATTAGTTGCTTGATTTTATCTGAATAAAGCTGAGTGGGTTGAATCTGAACAGAACGGAGATTCAACCAGTTCCTGCTGGAAATCTGGAATTTTCGAAACAGTTATGTTAAGAACGATGCTACAGGTTAGTTCCAATTGGTTTCGATAGATCTCCTTTTCTTTTCTTTTTTTTAATTGTGAGTTAGAGGCGGAAAATAACCTCAAAGTCAAACTCACTTAATGACTGTCTCACTTAGCAACAAACTTTCTGGGTCTGGTCGTTAAGTCAAGGACTATTATGAGGCGACAAGATGCTATTGGCATGAAGGGCTTCAAACGGAATTGGGTGAGGTTGTATCTGATTTAAGCCACATACGGCTGGTTTTATCTCATTAAAACAGTGTGCTATATTTAAGGGGAAGGAGACACATGGATGTCTGACTTCTTCCTTTTTTCCTGTTTTTTCCCTTCCTTTTCACCCTGCCCATGTGTCTCTTCCAGGATGTGTCTCTAAATGAAACTTTACAACTTCCAGGTGTTCTAAAACCAGAGCCAGCGTTTGAAAAATAGCAGATTTCGATTGGATTTCTTGTGTCCTCTGTCTGCACATGTCAACCGTTAGGTGTCAAGAAACACAATTTTTCATATTAGACTCTTTTCTGTTACGCCAATAAAGGACTCAAGCCAGAGAAAAAGACAGGAAACCGAACCACTTACAAGGGAAACATGACTTTTATTTGTAATAAATCTCAAATACAAGACCGGTAGGTGTCAATAGTCCAAAATATATAACAAGGTCATATCGTTGCAGGCACACGAAGGTGGCCAAAAGAATTCTCCAGTTCTTTTCCCTAAAATTCCCCTTTGGAGAAGATGTCTTTTGGATAGATAAAGCAAAATTGGAACTTTTTTGTCTGTCACAGAAAGAAAAAAAACGATGCTTTTTTGGAAAAGAACCTTAACCTGACAATGAAAAGATCCTATAAAATTATGGGGTAGTTTTGTGGCCTCTGGCACCAAGTGTCTTGGATCTGTGCAGAAGATTAATGAAGACAGCTCTTGTCCCAGAGTTGTGGCTGCCCCATTGCTGGAGGTTTCGAAGAAGAGTTTAATCCAGAATGGTATAGGGCAGGGGTAGGCAACCTCTCCCTTTTCCCTCAGCATGGCTGGCTCAGGAATTCTGGGAGTTGAAGTCCACAAGTCATAAAAGAGCCAGGGTTGCCTACCCCTGGCCTAGGCCTAGGCCGCTTTCTGACTTGTGGACTTCAACTCCCAGAATTCCTCAGCCAGCCTGGCTCAGCTTGGAAACCTCTCCCTTTCCCCTCAGCGTGGCTGGCTCAGGAATTCTGGGAGTTGAAGTCCACGAGTCATAAAAGAGCCAGGGTTGCCTACCCCTGGCCTAGGCCGCTTTCTGACTTGTGGACTTCAACTCCCAGAATTCCTGAGCCAGTATGGCTCAGCTTGGAAACCTCTCCCTTTCCCCTCAGCGTGCCTGGCTCAGGAATTCTGGGAGTTGAAGTCCACGAGTCATAAAAGAGCCAGGGTTGCCTACCCCTGGCCTAGGCCGCTTTGTGACTTGTGGACTTCAACTCCCAGAATTCCTGAGCCAGCCTGGCTCAGCTTGGAAACCTCTCCCTTTCCCCTCAGCGTGGCTGGCTCAGGAATTCTGGGAGTTGAAGTCCACCAGTCATAAAAGAATGTGGACTTTGCTGTCTTTAAAATGCAGATGGGTCGCTGAATCTTGTCCTGATGGTACCTTTGGGATAACCATGATCTGGATGACTGAGAATCTCCATAGACATCTCCATAGAACCTTAGACATGTCCAACACCTGTTCACACAACACTTGTTTAATAGAGCTACAGCAAGCTGCCAGTCAGCAGAAAGGAACTAATAGAAAAACACAGCTGAAATGCTGCAGGATATTGTCATTTGTTCTCTCTGGAGATGTTCCCAGTCCAAAATCCCCCCTTCCAGTTTGTTAAAAAATATTCGGAATTTGGATGGAAGTAATTACCAGTCAAAAAGACTAGGGTAACTTGGGAGAAGCTTTCATAGCCAAGTCAGATCCCAAGTCAGATATAAAAGATTCAAAAAAAATTTTATGTCATACTTAGCACATTATACCCTTCCTCTGGAAGAAAAAATTCTATTTCTGTACAGAATATACGTTACCTAATTTGAAAAAGTCCTACTTAAATTGCTCTAATATGTTCTCCCCACTGCTGAATATTATTGTTCTTCGTTTTACTCGGTGCATTAAACTCTTGAGGTATTAAACAGTTTCAGTTAATTCTTCAGCCTCTACCCTTATGTTCTTCTCGGATTCTTCTGCTCAGCCACAATCCACGTAATTTTATGGTACAGATGGACACCTGTCAATATGAACATTTCCTGCCTTCTACTAAATAAGGTCACTGATGGACATATATACAGGACAGTCTGTGGTAGGGGATGTCCAACCTTGGTAGCTTTGAGACTTTTGGACTTCAACTCCCAGAATTCCCGAGCCAACCGATTTATTGTTAAGCAGCCTATGCACAGACATCTTTTTAACAGTCGGCACCTGCCTGGAATTAGACAAGAGTCCATAGAATCCAAGGAAGGCTGGACTTAGTCCACTGGTGGCTACGTAGGGATTCTAGGCTGATTCCTCTTTTGACTCCACCTCCAGGTTCTCTCCCATTATCTCTACCCAGATAATGTCATTGTCCTGCCTCCCATCACAACGCCATGCCTGCCACCTTGAATGAGTCTGACACCTACCCTGTCCGCTCAGCTGGCTAGCACCATTTAGGCTTGCTCTGAACCAGGACTTTTTTTTTTTTTAACCTACTTCAAAAACTGGAACATATTGGAAAAACTAATTCAGCTTCCCCCGTAATCGGGATCAATAATTCAGACTGCAGCTGACAAAAGCAAAGCATCTCCCACCTTGATCTTTTCACCATCTTCACTAGAGGAAGCCAGCCTGCAGCTGAATCTTCCATTCAACATTGTTTAATCTATGTCAGCGTCTCTCAACGCTGGCAGCTGGAAGATGGGTGGACTTACAACTTGCTGGCTGGGGACTTCTGGGAGTTGTAGTCTACCCATCTTCCAGCTGCCGATGTTGAGAGACACTGATCTATGTAAATGACTTGGCTACCCATTGGGGGGAAAAAACCTTTGTCAGAGGGAGGGATCCAGGAGACCAGGGCATGGCACTAAAAAGCAGAGACATCACCCTGCCAACAAAAGTGCGTATAGTCCAGGCCATGGTTTTCCCAGTTGCAATGTATGGCTGTGAAAGTTGGACCCTAAGAAAGGCTGAGCGCCAAAGAATGGAGGCCTTTGAACTCTGGGGCTGGAGAAGACTCCTGCGAGTCCCCTGGACTGCAAGGCGACCAAACCGGTCAGTCCTGGAGGAGATCAACCCTGACTGCTCTTTAGAAGACCAGATCCTGAAGTTGAAACTCAAGTCCTTTGGCCACCTAATGAGAAGGAAGGACTCCCTGGAGAAGAGCCTGATGCTGGGAAAGATGGAGGGCAAGAGAAGACGGGGACGACAGAGAATGAGGTGGCTGGATGGAGTCATTGAAGCAGCAGGCGTGAGCTTCAATGGACTCCAGAAGATGGTAGAGGACAGGAAGGCCTGGAGGAACGTGGTCCATGGGGTCGCGATGGGTTGGACACAACTTCACAACTAACAACAACGGTGCCACTGTCCCTTCCCCACATTTAATCAGCACGGGAGGAGGGGGGTATGTTGGCAAGTCTGCTGCCGAAAAAGACGCATCCCGCTTGAAAGATAAAGATGTAACGAGGATTGGTTTGCAGGGAACTCTGCCACCGCAGCTGCTGTGCCCAATTATGGCTATGTCGAATATATATATCTCTATCTATATAAAAACCCTGTTAATAGTCTCAGCATGTTGGCTGGATTATCTGCTAAATAATTAATGCCCCATATTATTGTCAGCAGGTGCTTCTACAATTAACCTCTGGCTATTTAATTGGTAATGTCTGCCAGGATGAAGCCGGCCATCCTTAAACATGAATCTAATAGAGAGAGAGAGAGAGAGAGAGAGAGAGAGAGAGAGAGAGAGAGAGAGAGAGAGAGAGAGAGAGAGAGAGAGAAACATTTTGGCCGTCTGAATCCTTCAATCGTAAGAATAGTATTTGTGAGTAATAATTTCTGAAGGCAGAGAGTCTCCATTTTGGATTCAGGGGTCTTTTGCCCATTCAGGTGGCGTCTATGGGGTACAGGTGATCCTCGACTTATAACAATTCATTTAGTGACCGTTCAAAGTTGCCATAGCATGGGAAAAAAGTGACCGATGACCGTTTTTCAGAGTTACGACCGTTGCAGCATCCCCAGGGTCACATGGTCAAAATTCAAGACACTTGGCAACCGACTCATATTTATGACGGTCACAACGTCCCGGGGTCACGTGATCCCCTTTTGCGACCTTCTGCCAAGAAGAGTCAATGGGGAAGCCGGATTCGCTTAACGACCGTGTTACTAACTTAACCACTGCAGTGATTCACTTAACAACAGTGGCAAGAAAGATCGTAAAACGGGAGAAAACTCACTGAACAAATGTCAAGTGTAACAGATAATTACCTTTTAGAAACATGGGAATGTAAGGGCTTTTATCTGCAATAAAAACATTAGCGCTAAATGACAAATAACAATATCGGTAATCAGCTGAGGGAATATTAAAATTTAGGAACTGACCTGATGCTCGTCTCGTGAAGCGGTTAATCACAGGGGCTAAAAGAAAGAAAAGACAACAGAGAGGGCATTAGTCACTTTCAAAGTAAAATACACACGTGCGGTTTTCCAAGCTACGTGAACGCAGTTTTTAATCCATGATAATGATCACAATTCATCTCCGTAAAACGGCTGCTAAAATTTAATGTCCCGCCTGGGATGCAATTGCTCCAACAGATTTCTTGGGAGGGGAAAAAAATAATAACTTTATGAAATTCAAAGGAATGAGGAAAAAAGTAACGGGGGGGGGAAGGGGGAGGAACAGAAACTCAAATATTAAATTCCACTTTGATGTTCACTTCTCTTTTATCTCTCCAAGCAACAGTTCCTGGGTGTTCGGAACCAAACCCTCTTCCTTTGCAATATTTGAAAATGTCATTCCTTTGACTTTTATGCGCATCAGCTTTTAATTGAAATGTGGAACAATCCATCAGCTGTTTACCTCCAACACAAAACTGCCTGTCTCAAAAACTGTCAGAAGATCGGAAAGCCAGATCCAGGCAGTCCTCAATAATGGAGCCCAACATTTATGTTGCTAAGTGAGAAAGTTGTTAAGTGAGTTTTGCCCCATTTTATGATATTTTTTTTTGCCACAACTGTTAAGGGAACCACTGCAGTTGTTAAGTTAGTAACACAGTTGTCACTTATAATGATGATGATGATGATGATGATGATGATGATAAGAAGAAGAAGAAGAAGAAGAAGAAGAAGAAGAAGAAGAAGAAGAAGAAGAAGAAGAAGAAGAAGAAGAAGAAGAAGAAGAAGAAGTAGTAGTAGTAGTAGTAGTAGTAGTAGTTGGAAGGGGCTTTGTAGGTCATCTAGTCCAACCCCCTGCTCAGGCAGGAAACCCTATACCAGGGGTAGGCAACCTTGGCTCTTTTATGACTCGTGGACTTCAACTCCCAGAATTCCTGAGCCAGCATGGCTCAGCTTGGAAACCTCTCCCTTTTCCCTCAGTGTGGCTGGAGGAGGAATTCTGGGAGTTGAAGTCCACGAGTCATAAAAGAGCCAAGGTTGCCTACCCCTGGCCTAAGGTCTAACCTAGACTCTTTTTTTAATGATGGCATTAGGCTGACTTACTACCTTCCAATCCTATGGCACTGATCTGAGTGACAGCTTACATATTTTTGCTAGGACTTCAGCCATTTGGGAGCTGAAGGGCCTTCAGGAGCTGACGTCAGAAGTTGTTGAGCTGCTAATCTTAGAATATCTTGTTTTGTTACTTCAATTTCAGAATGAAGAGGGGAGATCCACCTATTCTCCAAAGCTCCTGAAGGCCAGACAAGAAGCAGCAGATGGAAACTCATCAAGGAAAGAAGCAACCTAGAACTAAGGAGAAACTTCCTGACAGTGGGAAGAGTTAATCAGCGGGACATCTTGCCTTCGGAAGCTGTGGGTCAGGGGTCTTCAAACCTGGCCCTTTTATGACTCGTGGACTTCGACTCCCAGAATTCCTGAGCCAGCCACGCTGAGGGGAAAGGGAGAGGTTTCCAAGCTGAGCCATGCTGGGAGTTGAAGTCCACAAGTCATAAAAGGGCCAAGTTTGAAGACCCCTGTAGTATAGAGAAAGCCAGATTGATCTAGGACAGTTGAAGTCCACGAGTCATAAAAAGGCCAAGTTTGAAGACCCCTGCTTGTGGACTTCAACTCCCAGAATTCCTGAGCCAGCCACGCTGAGGGGAAAGGGAGAGGTTTCCAAGCTGAGCCATGCTGGCTGAGGAATTCTGGGAGTTGAAGTCCACAAGTCATAAAGGGGCCAAGTTTGAAGACCCCTGCTTGTGGACTTCAACTCCCAGAATTCCTGAGCCAGCCACGCTGAGGGGAAAGGGAGAGGTTTTCAAGCTAAGCCATGCTGGCTGGGGTATTCTGGGAGTTGAAGTCCACAAGTCATAAAAGGGCCAAGTTTGCAGACCCCTGCTTGTGGACTTCAACTCCCAGAATTCCTGAGCCAGCCACGCTGAGGGGAAAGGGAGAGGTTTCCAAGCTGAGCCAGGCTGGCTGAGGAATTCTGGGAGTTGAAGTCCTGGAGTCATAAAAGGGCCAAGTCTGAAGACCCCTGTGGTGGGTGCTCCATCACTGGAGGCTTTTAAGAAGAGACTGTCTGAAAGGGGTCTCCTGCTTGAGCAGGGGGTTCAACTAGAAGACCTCCAAGGTCCCTTCCAACTCTGTTATTCGGAGGCTCACTCCTGTCTGCACTAAAATTTCTACTCTAGGCAAGCTGAGTGTTTTCAACCAAGCAAGTTGAGCACAGCTATGAACTATCAAGAGAGATGGGATTATATCGCCAGGTTAGGAAGCTAACTGACATTTGCAGGGATTCAACTGTCGGCCGAGGAAGCAAATCCACCTGCTGGCTAATGATCTGATCCATGAACCAGTTGCAGCTTTAAGCCGATTTTGCTAAGACCATATGCTCAGCAAGCAGGCAGACGTAACCCCCATCCAGTTGGGGGTGGGAAACCACAAGGCCTCAGCCACTTAGCCGAAAAAAGCTTTCTTCCACACAGCTAATCAACTCAGCAAGCTCATAAGCTCATTCTTTCTGCTTGCCTTCCTGTTTGTTTGCTTCTTCTGATCAGAAGTTCCCAAACTAACTAGAGCAATGAAAGAAAACTCAATTTTGATCACATGGTTGTGTGATCAAAATTCAGACGCTTGCAACGGACTCACATTTATGACGGTCGTCGTGTCCCGGAGTCACGTGATCTCCCCTTTTGCAACCTTCTGGCAAGCAAAGTCAATGGGGAAGCCAGATTCGCTTAACGACCATGTTACTAACTGAACCACTGCAGTGATTCACTTACCAACTGTGGCAAGAAAAGTCGTAAAATGGAGCAAACTCACTGAACAAATGTTTCACTTAGCAACGTAAACTTTGGGCTCAATTGTATTCGTGACGCAGGGACCGCCGGTAATTTGTCTTTTGACCTTCTGCCTTTTGCCTGTCTATGAAATGGATCTTTTTTTTTATAATATTTTATTAATTTTCCAATTTTACATTTGAATATTTAAAAAGCAACGTGGTGACTGGGTTAATCAATAGTTCAATAACAAAATCTTAGTGCAAATCTCAGGCTCATATTCCGGTTAGTACATTTCTAATGATATCAACTCAATAAGAACATCATTATTACATTTATCAATAAATTTTTAGCTTATGCATATCTTAATTACATTCAATCTTCATAAACAATCCATATCCTGTTATTGGTTTTTACTCAATTTTTAATTCCTTATCCATATTCCAATTTAATCTTTGATATTTATAATTTTCAGACTTTGGGTAACCAAAATTTCCCTCATCTCACTTCATAACAAACTATAATATCCAAAATACATATTTTATCTATTTGAATATAATCTTGTTTTATTTCCCCAAAGTTATCTATTTCCCATCATATTAAATCATCTACTTAATAACACAGTATCCCCTTTAATAAATCAAAACCACCATATATATATGTATGTATGTATGTATGTATGTATGTATGTATGTATGTATGTATGTTTTCTGAGGTTTTCGCGGGTGTTTGTATGTAGGTCTTTGGTTGTTCGGGTTTTCTCCCGCGTAAAATTGGAAGTGTCTTGGCGATGTTTCGACGAAGTCCCATTCGTCATCTTCAGGCTGGTGCTTTCAGCTTCGTGCTTCGAGGAGCAATGCCTGAAGATGACGAATGGGACTTCGTCGAAACGTTGCCAAGACACTTCCAATTTTACGCGGGAGAAAACCCGAACAACCAAAGACCTACATATATATATATATATATTGCCTGGGTTAATCAATAAATCAAACATATTCATAATATTTAACTTTCTTTTCCCTTTTAAGTCTAATTTTTAAATATTAAACCGATAAAATCCTTATTTTCAGCTGGTTTCCAAATATTATAAATCTAATAACCAAAATTTCCCTTACGAGTCCTTTTATGGCCGTCCATCAAGTCACAGCTGTGATTTCATGAATCGACACCCCAGCCGGGTCCTGAACCGACCCATGACTGTGTTTCAAAAACTGGACTTGGAGAGGAATGGTTGAGGTAGCCACAATAACCGAAGAAGTTCAATGTTAATCAACCCAGCAGCTTCAGATAAAATCTGAAATGAATTAAGGAGCTGCAGTAGGAACAGGGAATTATTTTCTCCTGAATAGCATCCACCTTGTAAGCTAATAACTCAACACAGTATATAACAATGACAGTGTTGTGTGTGGAAAACAACAAATTTCGGCTCAGGGGAATTGCTTTCTGCCCTGCTGAGAAGAACCACAAACAAGGACTCTGTTAAAAAAAAAAAAAAAGGACGAATACTCCTTGCATTCATGCTTCGGAAACAATCCTAAAATCATAAAGAAGGGGAACGTCTCCAATTCAAGCTCTGTATTAAAACAGAAGCCTGAGAATAATAGGTGTTTTTTTTCCCCCAATTTTCTAACATCTTGGATAGTAGTAACTGTGATAGTAGTAACTGTGAAAGGGACCTCGGAGTCCTAGTGGACAATCACTTAAATAGGAGCCAGCCGTGTGCTGCAGCTGCCAAAAAGGCCAACACAGTGCTGGGCTGAATTAACACGAGGGATAGAATCAAGATCACGTGAAGTGTTAATACCACTTTACAAGGCCTTGGTAAGGCCACACTTGGAATACGGCATCCAGTTTTGGTCACCATGATGTAAAAAAGATATTGAGACTCTAGAAAGAATACATAGAAGAGCAACAAAGATGATCAGGGGACTGGATGGAAGCAGTTCCTAGTAAGGCCGCCTTTTGCAATTGACTAATAGCGAATTTGTCAATGCCAATGGTGTTCAAGTGGTGCTCCAGCTGTTTTGGGATTGCACCTAAGGAGCCTATCACTATTGGTACTACCCTTGCTTGCTTTTGCCACAGTCTTTCTATTTCTATTTGTAGGTCTTTGTATTTTGTTATCTTTTCCAGTTCTTTCTCTTCTATTCTGCTGTCTCCAGGCATTGCCACATCCATTATCCAGACTTTTTTGTCTTT